CACTTTGGGCCGGGCGCTGGTGGCTCAAGCCTGTAATCCTAGCTACTCAGGAGGCTGAGATCTGAGGATCGTGGTTCAAAGCCAGCCCGGGCAGGAGAGACCGTAAGACTCCTATCTCCAATAAACCACCAGAAAACCGGAAGTGGCGCTGTAGCTCAAGTGGTAGAGCGCTCGCCTTGAGCTGAAGAGCTGAGGGACAGCACCCAGGCCCAGAGTTCAGGCCCCACGACCGGACCAAAAAAAAAAAAAAAAAAGAAGTGGAAGGAGCCAGGTGCCGGTGGCTCATGCCTGTCATCCTGGTTACTCAGGAGGCTGAGATCTGAGGATGGAGGTTCAAAGCCAACTCGGGCAGGAAAGTCTGTGAGACTATTATCTTCAATTAACCACCAGAAAAACAGAAGTGGCACTGTGACTCAAGTAGTAGAGTGCTTTCCTTGAGATAAAGAGTTCAGGGATAGGGCCCAGGCCCATGGTTCATGCCCCAGGACCGACAAAAAAAGGAAGTGGAAGGAAAGCTATGTTCATACTTGTAATTCTAGCTACTCAGATGGCTAAAATCTGGAGGATTAAAGTTCAAAACCAGTCTCAGCAGGAAAGTCTGGATTGGAGGTATGGCTCAAGTGGCAGAGATCCATCAGTGAACAAGAATGAGAGGCCCTGAGTTCAATTTCTGGTACCACCACAATAAGAAATTTAAATTTTTTTTTGTCGGTCCTGGGGCTTGAACTCTTGGCCTGGGCACTGTCCCTCAGCTCTTCAGATCTAATCTAGCACCACTTCCGGTTTTCTGAGTGGTTTATTGGAGATAAGAGTATCACGGACTTTTCCTGCCCAGGCTGGCTTTGAACCGTGATCCTCACATCTCAGCCTCCTGAGCAGCTAGGATTACAGGCATGAGCCACCAGCACCTGGCTTAAATTTTTTTTTTTAAGTGTAAGGAGGCTGGAGGTGTGGTTCACGTGATGAAATCGCAGCCTAGCAGGTACAAAGCCCTGAGTTCAAACTCTAGTACCACCAAAAAAAAAGAGAAATGTTCTGAACGAAGTTAGCCAATGATAATTACAATTACATATATATATATATATATATATATATATATATATATATATATTATAAACACAAAAGTAGAAGGACATGAGAGTGGAACAGGGTGGGAAATGTAAAAGGATAAATGAGGCCAGGCTGAGGGGCTAGTTCAGCAGCTGGAGTTTTTTTTGGTAATGCTATGTCACTGGTGAGTAGTGGCATGAGCCCCTTGGGTTACATATCATCATCCTCACTTGTGCTGCTGGGGGAGGAAGGACTAACAGAGAACAGTGAGCGAAGTAGCACTCTAAAAGGTTCAAAAGGGGAACTAGAAGTATGACTCAAGTAGAAGAATGCCAGCCTTAAGCAGGAGTTGGAAGGAGGCAGGAGCAAAAGACCCTGAATTCAAGCTCCAGTACTGGCTGGCATGCACGCACATACACGCGAGTGCACACGCCCAGAAAGGCAGTCACAATAGAGGACAAACAAGATTACAGAGACTCCTCACATGGGCTGGATAGTTTATTATAACTCTTCTAAGCAACTCCAACACAAAATCACTTTTTCTCAGTGGGAGCTAGAAACTTGATCAACCTATGCTCTTAAGCCTTGTTTCCCGGGCTCTTTCATGGTAGATCTTCAAAGGCCGAGTGGAGACAAGCAAATTGATGATCACATGGCTTTCCCTGCTATTGAAACTGCCCAGATTTTGTTTTGTTTTGTTTTCCGGTTGTGGGGCTAAAACTCTGGGCTTGGGCGCCATCCCTCAGCTCTTCAGCTCAAGGCGAGCGCTCTACCATTTGAGCCACAGCACCACTTCCAGTTTTCTAGTGGTTTATTGGAGATAAGAGTCTCATGGACTTTCCTGCCCGAGCTGGCTTTGAACCATGATCCTCAGATCTCAGCCTCCTAAGTAGCTAGGATTACAGGCATGAACCACTAGTACCCAGCTTTTGCTACTCTTTTTTTTGTGTGTGTGTGAAAATACTGTACAGAGGGGTTACAATTACATGGGCAAGATAATAAGTACATTTCTTATCAAGCATTGTGGCCTCCTCCTTTGTTTCCCCTTCCCATCTCATCCTCCTCCCACCCCACCCCCCTTCATTTTTTTTAAAGCAGTGTTAACTACTGACTTCAGGAATTCATGTTTTGTCACTGAACTATGACTCCAGCTCTGTGCTTTCATTTCTCACCTACTATAAATCACTTGAGTTCAAAGTGCTTCTTTAAGCAGACAACTTTGAGCAACAGCATAAGAACTGAAAGTCACAACTAATGTGTGGAATACCTAAAACAAATATTCTTTAACCCTGGAACACAATCAAGGGAAAGTGAACAGGAAAGTGAACCCTAGAGAGGAAACAAATTTCAGAATTGAAAACACCCATAACACATCAGAAAGCAACCAAGTTGTGGTAGGACTATGTCCCTTGCCCTTCCCCTTCAGAGATACAATCCCTAATCTCTGAAACCTGTGAATATGCTACATAATGTAACAAAAAGGACTTTACAATGTAATTAAGGATACAAACTTTAAAGAGATTATACTGGGCATGACAGGTATAATTTGTAAAATTTAGAAATTTTCTCTAAGTCAGAAATGACTTAGAGGAACCAGCTAGAAAGGGCCACAGAAAAATGAGAAGGAACAATCTGAACAAAAACTGACCCCTGGCAAGCAGCCAAGAAGGAAGGAAAGAGGATACCTCAGTGCAAAGAACAGAATTTAGCCAGGAAGGTAAATGGACTTGAAAGCAAATGTGATCCCAGGGCCTCCAACAAGAAATCTATCTTGCCAATAGCTAGATGCTGGTGGCTCACACCTATAACCCTAACTACTCAGGAAGCTAAGATCTGAAGATTGTAGTTCAGTGCCAACTCAGGAAGACAAATCTCTCCAAAAAACTAGCAAAAAAGCCAGAAATGGAGGTGTGGTTCAAGTGGTAGAGCATAGCTATGAGAAGAAAAGGCTGAGGGAGAGTGAAAGGTCCTGAATTCAAGCCCTAGTACCAGAAGAAAACAAACAAAAAAGCGTATCTTGACAACATCTTAATTTGTAGGAGATTCAAATAAGCAAGTGCTTACCTGAACCTGTAATGTATATAAAAATGACCAAATACAAACTTAGTGTTGTTTTAAGATGCTAAATGTATAGTAATTTGTCACTGCAGCAGAAAAACATGCAAGCAGAAATATCCGGCAGAGAAAAGAGAGCATTTCCTGGGAAAATAAAGAGGGTGAATTATGAAGTTTATCTAGTGCCAATCTTATCCAGAAACTGGACTCTTCTCAGCAGCCCAACACTACCTCAATCCTCTCTCCTTACTGCTGATTAAGACAAACTTATTTTCCTGGTTCTTCAGTACTGGGCTTTCCCAGAAAAAAAAATCATTGTCCTAGGGGCCTTTCCAATAAAAACTTAGGAGTAGGTTATCTCTTAAGATTTCACATGGGGATAAGACAAGTGCATTGACAAAGCACTTGCTTGCAAATTTGAAAAGTCTGCACAATAGCCCCAGCATAATTTTGTGGCAGGGCCACTCCTTCCTCTATATGGAGTTTCCCCCAGCATTCAGCTCAGCTTCCTTCCTTCCACATTGTTTCAACCTACCCCCTCCATCCAGCTAGTCATTATTGTTCACACTTTCCCCTTCCCCTGACATCTGTCTTCCTCTTTCAGTTTCTACAACTAAAACCACTTTTTATTATCTCTCCTGTTGGACTGACATTCCACACCATTTTATGGAATGTTTTGACAGTGATCTAGCAGTGGGGACATATAGAAGAGCCCCGTCCCCAAGAGCAAAAACTCCAAATAACTGTCATCTCTTCTGTTCTTACTCACCTAAGGGGACTGGGGAAATCTTCCCAACACTGGCATTTTGCCACCTCAAAACAGATCACATACCACCAAATATAGGTTCAAATTAACATAACAGCCCTATCACTTCTTACCAGCACCTGCTCATCTTCATTTCATTAGCTCTCAAACTTCTTATTCCCCGACCCCAGAACTCAGACTACAAGAAGGTCCTTTGTGCAGTAAGTGGTCACATGTCTCCAATTCGCGGCTAGGATTTTTGCCCTTCACATTCCCACCGGTCCTTTTAGGACTCATTTTTTCCTAACGTACTTCCCCCCTTCCCCACCCCCCCTCAGACTGCTCCCAGTTTTCTAAAGCTAACTTACCCCTTTAGCATCCTCATAACAAAAGCACTGTTCATTTATTCACTGTGGAAGGCGCTGTGTCTTGGGCAATTTTCAGATGGGCACAACAAAGCAGAAAGCTCAGTAAAAACTGCTAAGTGAAACAAGCAGTTGGCAGTGAGAGGCTGGAGTTCTGTTGGAACGGGAGCACTAAGCCCAGCTCTTCACTCCCTCCTCCAGAACCCATGATCGCTTGCTGACAGCAGCTTCCTGTCTGCACGCCTTTGGCAAAGTTCATATTCCTTTGATGGGTCCGATGAGTCTCCTACCCAAATGCCCAAATCTCTACCCTCCCAACCGCATCTTCAATATGCCCTCCACCAATTTTTTCCTCTCATCCTGATGCGCTTTTTTTTTTTTTTTAAAGAAGAAACCACGAATCACGTAGACTGGTAAAACCCACTAAGGACCGCTTCGTTCCCTTTCCGTATTCAGTGTAAATCAAAGCAGGAGAAAGTCTGCACCCAAAGCACACAAACGACGAATGAGAAAGCTCAGGACGATGACTCATAAGCCAGAGCTCGTTGGTTTGCAAGAGTTCGGCCCCAGGAAAGCTAACAAGCAGTCCTAGTCCGCAAAGAATGGAGTAGAAAGCCGAGGACCACACCCTGAGACTCAGCCTGGTCCCCGTCACCCGGGGTCTACCGGCGCCCTCGAGACCCCGCAGGCTCCGATACATCGGTCCACCACGGACCTCGCCCGCCCCGTGAGGAAGGTCCAGCCATCCCGCCCCCTCCCCCAGCCCCCCGGTGGCCCCTGCTCACATTTGACTGACTAGCTTCTGCCGGAAGGCGGCGCTACGCCAGTCGGTCTCTTGACCCGAAACGTCCATGCCGGTAGTCCCACTCCTCACAGCGTGCTTTCCTCGTCTCCGCCGCGGTCGCCTCTACCGCAGCGCCAGGCCCAAACCCGGAAGCCGTCCGCGGCTCTGCTGCTGTGCCGGAAGCATGGAGAGATTGTGGGAAATTGAGTCGCGCGCAAGATCCTATGGGAAATGGAGTTCCAGCGTGTGGATGGGCTGTCTTGATCCCGCCCTTTCCGCTTTGCCTTTAAGCGTCTCCTGGTGCCCAAGAGGCCAGTCTCTCTGCTTCTCTTTCAGTTGTTTAGCGTGGCAGCAACCTCAGATCCTCGGACTGGGGGAAATGGCGGCTGCGTGGAGGACCTGGTGTTGCTGGACTCCTGTAATCTGCTCCTCTACTGAGTCTCTACTGAGTTTTGGCTCTATTATTATTATCATATCTATTATTATATATCTATAAAGTACTTAGGCCCCGCCTTTCTGCGACTACCTACCTGCCACCCCCAAATCTCTATTTGACTTGGAATCTCAGATCCCACCTATGACTGCATTTGCGGGAATTTTTTTTTCCCCCGAACTCTGGCTCTGGGAACTGTCCCTCAGCTCTTCAGCTCAAGGCTAATGCTCTACCACTTGAGCCACAGCACCATTTCCGGCTTTTTCTGCTTATGTGGTGCTGAGGAATCAAACCCAGGGGCTCATGCAGGCAAGGCAAGCACTCTACCACTGAGCCACCTTCCCAGCCCTGATTTGTGGGGATTTGGAGGGCAGATAGACTTGCTCAGTGGAGGCCAGTGAGATGGATTCATGAGAGTACTTTAGAGGAATAAATGTTTGCCACATTGAACCTTAGAGGGGGCTGTAATTGTGTCCCTTGAAAGAAAGTGAGAAGATGGAATCCTGAGACTTAAGTGGTTTACAAGCACCAGTTGAAGAGCAACCAATTTGGTTGGCCCTTGAAGGGTGTAGACTGACTAAAACCTGTACCTAGGAAGAGCTCTTTGTCCTATTTTATCCAGAAACTAACAGGTTTGAGCTCTGAAAATCCTAAATCCTACCATCCTTTTATCCTCACACTGACCAAAATGGTCAGTCACACTTACATAAACCTAACTATTCAGGATCAGAGATCTGCAGACTGAGGTTGGAAGCCAGCCTGGGGAAGGAAAGTCCAATACACATTGATCCTCAATTAACCAGGAGTGGGGGTTTGGCTCAAGGGGTGAAATGTCAGCCTTGAGATTAAAAAAAAAAAAAAAAAAAAGCAGCCAGGGACTAATGGCTCTTGCCTGTAATCCTAGCTACTCAGGAGTCTGAGATCTGAGGATCACAGTTCAAAGCCAGTCTGGGCAGAAATGTCCCTGAGACTCTTATCTGCAATTAACCATCAGAAAACTGGAAGTGGCTCTATAGCTCAAAATGATAGAGCGATAACCTTGAGTGAAAGAGCTCAGGGATGCATTATCCTGCCCATGTAAATGTAACCCCTCTGTACAGTATGTTCACAAATAAAATTAAATTAAAAAAAAAAAGAGCTCAGGGACAGGGCCCAGGCCCTAATTTCAAGCCCCATGACTAAAAAAAAAAAAAAGCTATGTTCAGACAAAGAAGTTGTATCAGGTAATCGGGCTTTTCTTAGATTCTGAGGTGGCTTGCCTTGACTACAGAAGAGACGAAATGGAGGAATCTGGTATGCCTAGCCTTTATCCTACTCCTAGTTAATTCATGGACCCAAGTAAGGAGTTAGTATTTCTTAGCAAATAAAACAGTTTTTAAGCATCTCATCTCACAGTCATATCTCAAACTGGAAGATAAAGAGAGCACATGAGAGTTTTTTACAGTCCCCTTTGAAGGCACATTTCCAAAGACCTAAGGACCAGTGCATGGTATCACAGCCAGCTATGCGTTGAGAAGGGTCTCTCAAAATGTTTCTACTTAGGTTGGTCTCAAACCACCATTTTGCTGTTTGTGGCCTCCTGAGTCAATAAGATTACAGGTGCCTGGCTACTAACAACTCTTTAATAACTGAATTTTTATGATTATTTTGTTGATTGGAGAATTATATCATGGCCAAACATACATACAACTAAGTATAACATATGTAATAGATGACTCTGTGTGTGTGTGTGTGTGTGTGTGTGTGTGTGTGCGCGCGCGCCCATGGCCTCATATATTGGGCAAGTACTACTGTGCTATACATCAAACTTTCAAAAGATTATTTTAATAACAATATCATTCCAATATATAACTTTCTCATAATGTGTATCTTACTCATCTTTGGGTTCTTCAGCATGTAGATTGACAGTGTTTTTACCTCATGATATACATAATATGTAAACATCTTTGTATAGAGGCATTTCTGATACTATTAATATAGCCTTCAGAAGAGCATCCTAAGTCCCAGGGGCAAATGTGTTGTGTTCCATATTTTCTGTATAGTTTTATTTGTTACATATACTACAGCAGAATTTTCAAAAATAGGCAAAATTGTAACTCTTAATGAGAGCAGGAAAGGCATCTGGCTAGATAATTTAGGTGAAGGCCCCCTTTTCATAGATGTTCTGTATCCCTCACCATGGCCTTGAGCAGTCACACATGTAGACCTCTAGATATCATATCTTAAGCAATTGTGCATGCCATCCCTGAACATCACCTTATGGCACATTGACTAAGTAAGATTTGCATGTGAACTGATTAGACCCCAGAAGTGTACACTGGAATGGACACCCAATCAGAGGAACTAAGTAAGCCATGGAGAATTCATGCAGGCTGCATGGAATCTCTGATAAGGTCTGGGGAAAATATATCCTGCAAGCTATCCAATCATCTTGAGAGTCACATAGTTCTCTCCTAAAAATACTTTTTCTTTTCTCTTCTTTATTTTTGTTGGTTGTGGGGCTTGACTCTGGACCTGGGTGCTGTCCCTCAGCTCTTCAGCTCAAGGCTAGCACTCTACCACTTGAGCTACAGTACCACTTCTGGTTTCCTAGTGGTTTATTGGAGATAAGAGTCTCACAGACTTTCGTGCCCAGGCTGGCTTTGATTGGAGATAAGAGTCTCTCGGATTTTTCTTCCCAGGCTGGCTTTGAACTGTGATCCTCGGATGTCAGCCTCCTGAGTAGCTAGGATTACAGGCTTGAGCCACTGGCGCCCACCTGAAAACACTTTTTTTTTTTTTTTGGGTCCGGTCTGGGGCCTGAACTCTGGGCTTGGGCGCTGGCCCTCAGCTCTTCAGCTCAAGGCTAGCACTCTACCACTTGAGCCACAGAGCCACTTCTGGCTTTTTTTCTTTTTTTGCTTATGTGGTGCTGAGGAATCGAACCCAGGGCCTCAGGCATGCAAGGCAAGCACTCTACCACTGAGCCACCTTTCCAGCCCCCTGAAAACACTTTTTAAACCCCTACACAATACACCCCAAGTGATACCCTCCCTTAGGATCCTTTCTGACTAGCAGGAGCTCCACTTTTTTATTTTTTTCCTGGTTGTGGGGCTTGAACTCAAGGCCTGGACACTCTCCCTGAGCTCTTTCACTCAAGGCTAACATTTTGTTGGGGTTTTTTTGTTTTGTTTTGTTTTGCCAGGCTTGAGGCTTGAACTCAGGGCCTGGGCTCTGTTCCTGAGCCTCACTGTGTTCAAGGCTCTACCACTAGAGCCACAGTGCTGGCAAGGCTAATGCTTTGAGCCACAGCTCTACTTTAATCTTCCGGTGGTTAATTGGAGATAAGAGTCTCACGGACTTTCTTGCCCGAGCTGGCTTTGAACTGCGATCCTTAGATCTCAACCAGCTTGCTTATCTTTTTCTTCAATAAAGTGTTGCCATTTTACTTCTCACTCTGTGTGGACCATAGGAATATAGAACCTTATAGGAATATAGAAACTTGTCACAGCTTTTCAGTATCATTAACATGTTAAAAAAAATTTCAAGCCAGGCACTAGTGACTTATGCTTATATTACTAGGTAGCTATATAAGAGACAGGTCAGTTCAGAAAGGAAAGTCTGTAGGACTTTTATTGCCAAGTAACCATCAAAAGGTCGAAGTGGAGCTTGGCTTAAGTGGTAGAACACCAGCCTTGAGCAAAAAAACTCAGGGACAGTATCCATGCCCCGAGTTCAAGCCCCAGGACTGCACACACACAGACACAGACACACAGACATACACAGACACACACATAGACACAGATACAAACACAGATACACACACACACACACACACACACACATCAGCTGGGCACCATTAGCTCATGATTATGATCCTAGATATTCAGGAGGCTAAATCTTAGAAGCATAGTTTGAAGGCAACCCAGTCAGACAAATCCTCCAGTCTCTTTTTTTGTGTGTGTACTGATCCTAGGGCTTGAACTTAGGGCCGTTGGCACTGTCTGTGAGCTTTTGGACTCAAGGTTAGTGCTCTACCATTTGAGCCATAGCTCTATTTCCAGCTCGCAGTTTCCTTTCCTTTCCTTTCCTTTCCTTTCTTTTCCCCTCCCTCCCTCCCTTTTTCCCTTCCTCCCTACCTCCCTCCCTTCCTCCTTCCCTCCCTCCCTTCCTTCCTTCCTTCTTTCCTTCCTTCCTTCTTCTTTCTTTCTTCTTTCCTTCTGGTAATTAAAGATAAGTCTCACACTTTCCTGCCTGGGCTGGCTTCAAAAAGCAACCCAGGGCTGAGGCCCTGGGTTTGATTCCTCAGCACCATATAAGCAAAAAGAAAAAAGCCAGAAGTGGCGCTGTGCTCAAGTGGTAGAATGCTAGCCTTGAGCTGAAGAGCTGAGGGACAGCGCCCAGGCCCAGAGTTCAGGCCCCACAACCAGACCCCCCTCCAAAAAAAAAGCAACCCTCAACTGGGCACCAGTGGTTCACACCTGTAATCCTAGCTACTCAGGAGACTGAGATCTGAGGCTCTCAGTTCCAAGCCAGCTTGTGCTTAGTTCATTTTAATCAGTGTTCATGCAGCTGATGGGTCCTGCTGTTGCATGTTTTCCCCTGTTTCCCTCTGTTTTTGTGTTTTCCTCCTAGTTTCCCTCAGATGTGCACATATATACCATATAGGTGGTCAGCAGCATGGGGTCTTTTAGTAATGATATGACCAGATGAGTGGAGG